TGGCATCCATCCTCTGCTTTCCCTGGCTTTGAGATCATTCTACCCGGATCCCTCTGCATCGTGATATATGCTCCTAGGCAGATGATGTGTTTACACAATTAAAATAATAAAAGAAAAATGCAAATTCCATTCTCAATCTACATGCTAAATATGGGTAACACTGAAACAAAAGATGGTCTTTATAGAATGCTACAACCACCGGAGCACTTGCCCTTCAACTCTTTGTCATCAATTGGCCTACAATGAGTAGAGACCTTTGAATTAGGGACAGACAGATGATGTGTCTGAACTGATAGTCATATCTGTCTATATAGTGCTTTACAGTTTAGAATATGCTTTGATATAAATTATCTGATACATACAGCCTGAGAAGCAGACATCATCCACATTTTAAAGACAAAAAAATTGAAATTCAGAGTCACCACACAACTTGATCCAGGTCACACAGCCAGAAAGAAACCAAATCAGAATTCCAACTGAAGAAGCCACGAAGGAAACAGCATCGACTATTTGGAGAAACACCACAAGCAAGAACTTGTTTGTAGACAGAGTTAACCCCACACCTACCTACAAAGCTTTTCACAAACATGGGAGACAGGCAGCGTTCTGACACACTGTGCAGGGTCTCTGCTGAAGGATCAACAAATAACCAGGGTAGTTTTGCATTTAAAGATTTCATGGTGTTAACCATGAGCTGATTCAATCAGTTTCCATTAAACTACTGTGATTTTATCTTCTGCTTGCTGTGCCTACACAAATGGAATCTATTACAGCACATGGGAAATAAGAATTTGCTGAACTGTTTTAAAAATATTTTATATCATTTGAATACAGAGGCAGGCACAGGGCATCAGGGACTACAGAGGAACAAGGATAGGGTTAGGCAGGCCAGGGCTTGAGTCCCAGCTCTGCCATTTACCAGCTGTGAGGCCAAGCACTCACCCTGCTTGGCACATGTACACATAGGCTCTTGTGAGGATTAAATAAGATACTGCATGTGCAATCCCAGGCATGAACCTGGTCACAGCAGTGCTTCTGTATGGCTCAGCTTCTACTTCCTTTCCTTTAATAGTATCAAAACAACAAACATTGGAAGAATGAAAATGTAATATACAAGATGCTTTCAAATGAGAAGTAATTGATCTAGTTGTATTTATTAATACTATTTAGATTGAGAAATACTAAGCTTGCAACTGAATTAATTTTCTAATAATTTAGAAAAAGTTTTTAGTGCCCCAGGTAATACTGTTTTTTTGTAATCTTAGACAAGAGCATTCAGAACATAAAGACTTTAAATTATACACTATTCTCACTAATATTTAAGTTAAAGTTTATGCAAATATATGCATTTCTTTTGCTGTTGAGAAGCCTTTGTTGTGTGAAAATACAAGTACTATTTCATTTTCTCATATGTATTTCTGTAAATGGAAGCCTTCTATAAATGGCTTAACTTGCAGCATTTGGAAACTGTTTTTTTTTTTTTTTTTTTGCCTGAGTTTGGAGAATGTGGACTTAACCTTATTCATTCCATCACTCTCTTATTGTTCATTTTAAGCGTACTTAGACTTCTAAATATCATTCAAGAACACTTCTGAAGATTGCAGTTAGGTCTTAAATACTGAAAATATTTTCCTCCTTTGGATATATTTTCCATTTACTATCTGATTTCCACATAACTCAGAATTAAAAGCTGATCTGCTAGGTGCTGTATGCACATGAATAGTGTGTTGGACACCTTGTTTGTGCTAAAATGAGATAACAGATGTCAAAGTACTTTGAGAATTTAAAATCACTATGCACATTACGGTATAATTATACAAATGTGAATGCAACATTTATTTATTAGGGGTATGGAAATGGAGGAGTGTTTCAGAACTTTTGGGCTAATGAGTCTAGTTTAGAATTACAGGCTGGAGAAGCTATGTCTTCAACATGATAGGAAACCCATCATTCAGATGTATTTCTATCATTACATTCAGTTCATGCTGAACTCAGTTTTGTTTCTTGCATATTCATTTAAAATAATTTGATGCCAGAGTATTGCTTATATCAGAATAATAGCAAACAATACTCACAATATTTGCAAAACCTCTGTATTCCAACACAGGTATTTTAAATATTGTTTCAAATTGAAAACAATCAATTAAACACCATTCTAGCGTTTTATTTTAAATATCTGCCAACAAATTTGACAGGTAAAATGGACATTAAATTTATCTCAATTTAACGTTAAGCATTGGTTTTCCAAGTTAAGCAAAGCACTTCCAAACATCTGGTAAGCAGACCTCAAGAAGGCAAAACTCCTGTGAATTACTGCAGCCACCAGGAACTTAAGGTTTCTGGCCTAGGGCTAGAATTCCAAATCACTCTAGTGGTAGCTCAGTTAAACTTGAAGTAGAGGGGTTTCTAAGAACATAAATGTGTCCTGGTGATTTTCTCTCAACTGCATTCTTCTTTCTTTTGGTAGGTAAGAAAGAAAGACTGAAGGTGGACTTTTCCATTTTAGTGGGAAACGGACTGGTTAGGCAAGCATTAACCAAGCTACAGTAAGCTTCTTGGGAGAAACCCCTTGGGAAAGAACTGTAGGAATGGAGCTCCAGGTTGGAAGGAGGTATAACTGGCTGCTTGCTTGCAAGAATTTTAATTGCTAATTCAAGTCTTTAGGAAGACCCAACTTGATTGCCTAAATACAAAGCTTTAGGGGAAAAAGTATGGTCTAGAGAGATACGACAGGTTTTTAAAAAAGTAAATAAATTTCAAAAAGTATTACAGCAAATGACCAAAAATAAGATAGAATAATAATAAAAAAAACCATCAGTTGAGTGGTTGACTGGTGGAAAAGTCACATAAATTGAATTGGTCAACAACAAAATGACAGAGTATTTCATATTTCGACAGGTTAAAGCACTATTTTTTAAGAGGTATGCATTCATTGCTCCATGGGTTTTGGCCTTGCCAGACTAGTGATCATGCTCAAAACTGCAATTAACATCACCCAAAGAGCTGCAGTTCCAGAATCCCTTTTTCTTATTGATCAGATTCATGTGGTGTCATCTCCTATTTTCTCTGCAGCAGAAGTGCTGTATTGAACAGCAGGCTTTTAGAAAGCTTCTAATAAGCTCCCGGTTGCTGATGGAGCCTGTGTCTCTAGCAGTCACTCGATCATCGTTAGTACTCCACGTGAGGGGAATGTATGCGTGCACAGGTGCTCTCGTTCACCATGTCCCATCGGCCTGCTTATCTCACTCTGCTTTCTGCTTTTGGGCTTTTCTCACCTGGCCAGATAAAAGCCCATACCATTTTCCCAAGGCTAAGACAATTCTCGTAAGGGATGCATTTCTGATTGGAGTGACTCATTAAAAGCTTTGTGCTATTTGATACTACTGCCCCTGCTTGCGAACCTCAGGCAGCATGTAAGGGTGCAGTCTTGCTAGGTCACCTCTGAGTGTTTATACATAGGTTGAAGGGTAAGTCCTCTTAAAAAAAACTCCTGCAGTATATGGAGAAATTTCATAAATTATGCGAGCAGCTGAGAGAGGTAATTCTGTTATACTGAGGTTGACACAGTCAATAATAGCTAATGCTCATTCAAGAACTATCCTCCCTTACCCAGGGAAGAAATGGGCTCAGAAAAGACCCAGTTCATATTAATACATAAAGACTACATGGCTCAAGGTTAAAACAAACCACATCTCTGAAATGTTGTCATTAAGGAAATTTAACCACATATGTGATTCGAAAATATAATAAGTAACAGGAAATAAATGAAAAGTTTGGGGGGAAAAAAGCTTTCAGAGGCCCTATTTAAAAGAGCATCAGTGAAAACAGTAATAAAAATTAAAAGACAATACCTAGCAACAGAGAAAGAGAAAATTATTCTTATCTTGTTTCTCCTGTATTTTCCATCCCCTTTCAATAAAAGATTCTCCATAATCCCAGCATTGCCATTTCCTGCACAAATAACCCAGAGAACATTTCAAAATTAAAGGAGCTGAAAGAAGACACAGTATCCCAGGCCTTCTCTCCCCAAGGCAACTGCAGGCAGAATAGCCATGGTTTCCAGAACATTCTCTTCACATTTGTCTCTCGTGAGCTGCAGCATACAATGTTTACCAGTGGCTTTAAAAATAAAATCTCACTAAACAGTTGAGAAAAATATTTAACAACCAAGGCAAAGCAATTACAGTCAAATTTTCACCTCAAGATTCCCATCTTAGGTGTGGGAGGCAGAGAGAAGACTCCTGCACATCAGTCTGAACCTAGAATGAGGATGAAAAGAGTTGATTCTGCCGATAGTTGACAACAAATCCATATTTTTGCATCTCAGGGCACAATGCGGAGCTACCCGCCCATCTGAATGTGCATTAAGAATAGCGCCACTGTTCGGTTAAGGCTGACTCAAGTTTCTAAGCAGCAATCCGAGGACAGGCTAGACATGAACATCCATACCAAAAACGTGGAAAGGTCCGAATGTGACAGATCTCCCTTTTCAATTATTTGTGCCAGAAAGCATCACTATTTTCAACTATTCAAGGTGACAATATGAGACAATGCAACTAGTCCCAGTAGAGCATTTCTGTATGAATGTATAGCTTTGGGAGGAAATTAACCACATCACACAGGGTTAATCCTTCCCTCCAAACTTCTGCCCCGTTATCCAACCAATTTACATTTTGTATTCTAAACTTTTATTACTATTTCTCATTATGATTTTACTTCGACACAATATTATTCCCTGGGCAAGACTTTCTGGGTGCAATGAGATGAGACATAATTTCTTCAGCAGGAATGCCTAACAAGGACATGTGTACACATTCCATTCCCAGACATTTCTGTCTCAGTCTAGTTCAGATGAGCAAGGAATGAAAGGCGGGGCATAAAATGGTATAAATTCTACTTAGGCACGGGCAATAAGCATCCATAGGAAGCTACTGTTCAATATTAAAAGGCATTACCTGATATGGTTGAAAAAGATATCACAAAGGCTTATAACACCTTACCTGAGCCATCTGCCTCTCCAGTTTTGATCGGGGAATATCATCAAAGTAGTTTTCATTTCTTCTCCTCCTTGCATCGCCCTGCATGATAATGTGAGGAACGTCTAGGGAGCCACCAGTGGTGTAAGTGCTTTGGCTAAGTGATGGAGACAACTGAGGAGGAGTGTGATTACCACTGGGTTCCTGAATGGAAATACATCATGAAATAAATACCATGTTCCGTGGCTAACCTTTGGTTTCAAAATTGTGAAATACTGACAAGACAAACTGTGGGGGTGGGGAGTCGCTTTTGAAGCAACAGCCAAGGAATGAATGACATTCCACCATTTTATTAATGGCACAATCTAGTCAATACGTTTTTCCCCTAAGTATTTCAGGTCAAAGGTCTGAAATATCAAGAGTCAGGTTCTGTTTTCCTAAAGCAGCACCATGGATGGTCTCAGAAGGGAGGCACACCTATGTTGGGCACCTCTGACACTACTGTTTGTGTTTACAGGAAAGGAACTGGGCCCTCGCGTGGGCAGAGCGTCCTCACCATGGTAGATGCCATGATGAGAAAGCTAAAATGGGACCCAATGGGTCTTGATCCTTCATCAAAGAATGGTCTGACAACAGGGTTGGGAAGAGGACACAGTATGGCAACACAGCATGTCACACGCACAGACTGCAGAGCAGTGCATGCTACGACAGAGGATGCTTTTCCAAGGCAAAGACAACTCTATCCGAGGGAAACAGGTCAGGAGGAAGATAGGGGGCATAGACAGCTCAGCTCTACTGTTTGCAAGTAAAACAGGATTGGGATCATGGTGTTTCTTCAGATCCCTTCTCCTGCAGATATTCTGGACCTTCTGTGATAGATTTAGGTCCTACACTTTTTCTCGGAAATCTCTGTCTTTGATCTTTTTTTGTTCCCCTAAATCTCTTCCAGAGAGCCAGAATGAGAGGTTCAGAAGGGGAAGGAAAAAGAGCAGGGTAAGTAGCAGGAAATTACTTCTCTAAAGAGTTATTTCAGGATGACTACACTGATGGTGCTTATATCTTTCTCTCCTTCCATGTAGCAAAATGAAGGCAAAACAAAAATCACTTTTTTTTTCTAATTTATTTGACGCTCCTCTTTCTAATGGGTGAAATTTCTATTTGTACTTTTATGACTCTCAAAACTCTCAAGTAACCTCCAAATATCTCAGTGTACCCTAATGCCCCCAGTAATTAATTCAACCAGTATTCATGTAGTCCCTACCCATCCCACTCCAGTCTCTCTCAGGAGGCTAAGGTCGTCCTCCTGGAGCCAATTCTCTTGCATCCCCTGAAATCCTTGCGCATTTTCTTCTCCTCCAAAGCTGAATCAGACTCCAAATCCTAACAGCTCCTCTCCTGCCCCACCCTCTGTTATCCTGACAGTGGCTATGTTGTTTGCTGAAGTGTATTGATAAGAGGCAGGCCACTGCATTTCATCACGACGGTTACGTCTGGGTGCCATGCTTGTATTCATCCCTTCAGAAAGGAAATCAGAAACAAGCAAGTGCAGGACAAAATAAAGAGAGCAGAGCGGGCACCCCACAGCTTTCAGGGAGATCTCAGCTTTTTGACGAATTTTAGAAAAGTTCTTATAGGACGCATGAACACTGGTGACTGCCAGCCACTTCTGGCCACTGCCATTTTGCCTGGAAATCATCTCTCTCATTTTCTCTCTGCTCTTTCCTCCCTCCCTTCCTTCACTTCCCCTTTATTTCTCTCTCCCTTCTACAGGTTCTCTCTAGTTTCCTACCTCATAATTCTTTATTTATTTTTTTTTTTGAGATGGAATTTCGCTCTATCGCCCAGGCTGGAGTGCAATGGCATGATCTTGGCTCACTGCAACCTCTGCCTCCTGGGTTCAAGCGATTCTCCTGCTTCAGCCTCCCGAGTAGCTGGGATTACAGGTGCGTGCCACCATGCCCGGTTAATTTTTTGTATTTTTAGTAGAGTTGGGTTTCACTGTGTTAGCTAGGATGGTCTCGATCTCCTGACCTCGTGATCTACCTGCTTTGGCCTCCCAAAGTGCTGGAATTACAGGCATGAGCCACTACGCTGGGCTCCTACCTCATAATTCTAAAGTGTAGTTGAAGAAAAGAAATACCATTGATTAAGTAAGGTTTTAGATTCTCTATTCTGAATTTTTGAAGTGGGTAAAGTTGGACAAATTTTACTTCTTGAAAAAACAGAAGACCCTAAGGTTAATTTTAAATTGCTCTTTACTTAACTGTGGTCCTTGATCGATTTTCTTTCTGTGGGTTTGAGGAGTCTGACAGAAAACTCATTTCCGCTCTCCTGGTGTAATGGGGTGTGGGATGGGAGGTGAGGGAGTGGTTCTTTAAAGGTGGTGATTTGTCAGGCTGAATTCCATTATAGATGGATATCTAAATCTCAAAAATATATATTTAACTAATCTAGAAAAACAAATCTTGTTGTTTTGATTGTGTCAAACACAATCAAAAGGGAGATTGATTTTACACAGATACGGTAAGCTACAAAGAAAAGAGCCTGCACTTGCTGATCTACTGCTTCAGTTGTATAAAGTGCATGTTTATAAAACCTATAAAACTGCACAAAATAATTCTTTTATTTCCTTACTCTGTTGCCCAGGCTGGAGTGCAGTGGTGCAATCTCTGCTCACTGCAACACTCCGCCTTCCGGGTTCAAGCGATTTTCATGCCTCAGCCTCCGGAGTAGCTGGGAGTACAGTCGGGCACAACCACACCTGGCTAATTTTTTCTGTTTTTAGTAGAGGCAGGATCTCACCATGTTGGCCAGGCTGGTCTCAAACAAGTAATTCTTAAGGGCAGAGAACCAAATGAATGTGCTTGGCACTTACCCTGAGGGTGATGGACCGAGGGGGCTTCTGTGGGGGATCGTCGTGCAGCCTGTCTCCCAGAGATGCCAAAATACGTTTCCTGTGGCCAATCAAATTGATTTTTAAAACCTGAAACAACATATATTTGGGTTAAATATTTCATTGGAGAACAAATAATTTTTCTATGTCCTAAAACATGTGGGGTGAAAAGAGATTTGTGCAGTTACCCCTGCACCATGAGGTGTGGTGTGACGTCAGTGTGACTGTTGAAGTCAAGAAAGATTGCAGTAGCATCTGGGAAGCCTGGAGTGGCTAAGTAGTAGGGGCAGAAAGAGAAGGGAGGACGGTTCTCCTTCTACTCATGCTGCCTGAGAGTCTTATTCCCAATGCAGCAGCCTCAAGACCTTGCCAGAATAGAAGCCAGCTCTTCTCATAAGCAGCTGAAAACTCACAGGATAAAACCTGAGTCCGGACTTGGCTTCGGGATAATGGGGACAGGCTGTCCTCTGTCTCTTTCCCTCCATCCAGGATATGCAGTCACGCCAGCCTCCTCTAGGTATTGGAAGCTCCACATTAATTCTCACCTTGGGGCCTCTACCCCTGCTCAATCACCTGCCTGGAACGCTCCCTCTCCCCACTGAGATTTTCAAATAACCAGGGAATTCTCATGGTTCTGGACACTGTTCTGGTGCTGTCTCCTCAGAAAGGTCTTCTCCCATCTCCTTATTGAAGGAGCCATGTCCTCAACCCCTGACACGCTCTCCATGATGATCCTCATTTTATCATGCTCTGAAAGCACTTTCTTTACAGGCTTAGTGTTTGTGTTTTGTTCCACCCTCTCCAGGCAAGCTTCCTGAGAACAGGGCACTGGCATATGTTGATCACTATTATTTCCCCAAAGCATAAAAGGATGACTAAAAAAAAAAAATAAGGGATTAATGAATATGAAAGAATGAATGGTAATAGAGAGCTGCAAAATTAGAGTCATCTTGCATCAGGATACGGTTAGAATGAAGGACTGCCTATTGGGGTAGACTCAGAGCCTCCCCAGGATGGTATTTTGAATCTGACCTTGTTGCAAAGGGCACATGGTAGAAGAGCTCTCAAAGGGAACTGAGAATTGCAGCACCTCAGTCCTCAGCCCCATTCCTGGTGCTTTACCGGGGCACACCCCTTTCAATCTTCCCAACTTCTCTATCTGGAAGGAGTTCTCACTTGACAGATGAAGAAACTGTGGTTCAGAGTGGTTAAGTCACCTACCCAAAAGCCAGCATGTGGTGTCTCTGGGATTTGAATCAGATTTGCCTGATTCCAAAGCATGTTCTACTCCAAAGTATACATCACAAAATTTGGGCATTTCTCCAAATATTACCAACTTCTTAAAAATATATTGTATATTTAATCCATTCATAAAAATGTGTTTACCTCTTCCCTACCCATGGGTAGTCCCAAGATAGAATAATCTTGTTGGGTAAGTAGTTTCCAAAGTCGTTACCGCATGTGTAAACTTTTTTCTTCTCTTTTCAAGTTTTAAGATAGAAGGTAGGGAGAGCATTTCTTTGGCAGGCATCCCATGCTACCTTGAATTTTTTTAAAATTTCAACTTTTATTTTAGATGTAGGTGGTATATGTGCAAGTTTGTTACATGGGCACACTGTGTGATGCTGAGGTCTGGGGTATGAATGATCCCGTCACGAGGTAGTATGCATAATACCCAAGTAGGTAGTTTTTCAGTCCTTGTCCCCTTCCTCCCTCCCCTCCTTTGTCATCCCCAGTGTCCACTGTTGCCATCTTTATGCCCATGAGTACTCAATGTTTAGCTCCCACTTGTAAGTGTGAACATGCAATATTTAGTTTTCTGTCTCTGCATTAATTAACTTAAGGGTAATGGCCTTCAGCTGCATCCATGCTGCTGCAAAGGACATGATTCAGTTTTTTTATGTCTGTGTAGTATTTCATCTACCTTGACTTTTTATTTGTCTATTTGTTGGTTAACTTATGGGCCTTTCGGCCTAAACTGATGTATATTTTAAACTCACACTATGCCCTATTCCTTCGACAGCCACCCTCTGACCCATGCCTGTTGATGATGAGGAGGGTAAACGTTAGCCAAGGTGAATGTCCCCATGCACCACATCCCTATGATTTTATAAAACCTTCATCTCCCCTGGCTGATGAATCCTAATCTTTGTAAGTTTGTTTTCATAAAGCAGCTCCTCTTTTCCATAAATCATTTCAGTTGACATCCTCTGGACTTTCTGCTACCCTATTATAGCTGCTTAAGGTTTGCTGAAAAAATGGCTCACAATATTGCAGGTGTAAGTGAACCATGGCTTTACATGTATGCAGGATACTGTTTTCTGCTTTCAATACCCCTTTAAAATGTCCTTCCTAAGCACATGTGATTTCTAGTTAGCCTTTTAGCTGCAGTAGGAATAACTAGGGACAAAAGTATACACTGACTACAAAATCCCTTAATTTTGTTAAAGCTAGTAGTTCAAAGCCCTTTAATCTAGGAGGGATGATTTGAATTATTTTTCCCTAAATTCCTTATCTTACAGTTGTCCAGGCAGAAGCCCATCTGGCATCCTTCTGCCCACTCACACAGCCCTGCACTAGCTTTCTGCATTTATATTAACCAGTTTGGCATTTCACTACCTGGAAGAGCTTAGTGGTTTTTGCAAATCTGGAAATTTCAGCATGTATTCCTTTCAGATGATTTATAAATATGCTAACTAAGTGTGGCCCTACTGCTGATTACTTGCAGGCAGCATTGTTTACGCAATCCATAGAAATGCCCTTACATTCTTGTATTGTTTCTTTTTTAAAGCATCGAGATCAAATAATTGCTCCATCTCAGAAAAAACACGATAACCTTTCCAAAGGTATTTTGCAAGTCTAAACACAGTATATTTTCTAATTCTCTTTTATTCTCATTCTCAATTACTTTGCCAAAAGCTTCTATTGGATATAAATTCCTCCCACAAAATCTTTCTCCCAGCAGATAGCTGGACCTCATGCTGATGGTACTACCTTGCCCCTTCCCTGAGTCCTGCTAAAAATGTCTTTATAATAAAGACATTCATTTAATTATTATTATTTGCAAAACTGACATTAAATAACATATAACTGTGGTACAATTGAGCTGATGTAATCTCCACTATTGCTTTTGGTTTAGCCTCCCACGACTTAATTTTGGGCAGGTTACCTGACTCCTCTGATCTCAGGTTTTCTCACATATAAAGTGAAGAAGTTAAAGATAATTTCAAATGTTGTTGGGAAGATGAAGAGTAAATTGTGAGAATAATCAGCATAGTGCCTGACACATAGAAGTCGCAACTTTCACAGTGTGCTTATTCCAGTGAATGGGTTCTGAGGGTGCACAGGAATCCTGGCCCAGAAGAACAAGGACTTGGTCATTGTCATAAAGTCAATCATGTTAAAGAAATACACTGGAGCTTTGGATGAAGAGATGTGGCTAACTTTGGGAAAGCCCTCAATGAAGTAACTTATCCTAGTAGGAACGTGGCTGATTTCTAGCTATTAGTCTGAGGCCAGATCCAATTTAAAAGAATATGCTCTTCTCCCATCCACATTGCTTAATCTTCAATAGGAGGTAAGTTGAGGTACTCCTCTGCACTGAATCTTCATTGCTGTCTCCTCCATAGAGCTACCCAGATGAGGGTGGATTGATGAATGGATGGATGGATGGAAACATAGATAGGAAACAAATCAACACAGGATGGTTAGTACTATCAAGATCACCTGGATAACTCTCCTTTTTATTAGAAATGAGCTCCCATCACTGAAGATACTGATGGTAACTTCCATTTCTTGAACATTTTCTATACTCTAGTTCTATGTTCTAGTTGTGTAGAAACTGTACCAAGTGGTTATACACGTATATAAATATCTCTTGTAATCCTTACAATAGCATACAACAAAACCATTCTCATTTTAGAGATGCAAAATTTGAGATTATGAAATGCTAAGGAACTTCTCCAAGGTCACACCGCTAAGAGGCACATGGCTAGGATGTGCACCTGATTCTTAACCTGCCCTTCACCACTCTCCTTGCTCTTCTTCTTGCTGTTAACCTCTACACCTTTTGACCTTTAGTTAAACTATTGGTTATGTCATCATGAGGCTTAAGACGTTGCTTCTTACTTTGAGTTATCATGTTTAAAGCATTTACGTAGGGCTTTGAGCATCTGAAAACATTAAAATAATTCACTTTTTCATAAGGCTTATAGCATTGTTAAAGCTACAGGCTACAAGGGCAGGTAACTCACAGTATTCCCTGTGAAATACATATATAGACCAAGCACAGGAAACCCTCATCATCCAAGATTCAATCTGAGCTGGCTCACTGTGGAGTGGTAGACAGGGTGACAGTTGGCTTCAAAATGTCGAAGTTGACAATAACAAATCTAATTGGCAAACCAATAACAGAATATTCCAAAGAAAGATGGTCATTATGGAAAAGTCAAGTCTGAAGGCTGTTGGGTTTGCCTTGAGTGAGAAGAGCTTAATAGCAGACTGTCTTTGCAAGCAGATGGGGTTCCTGAGGTAGTGGAATCCTATAACCCCAGGCATCATGGGTGATAACCAGTATGAACACTTTAGTTTTCAAAAAAACCAGAGTAATGGTTACTGCAGTAGAGAAGAATTCTGTGTTTTCATTACTGCTTGGGTTAAAGTTAACTGTTCAGACAAAGAACATAATAGGAGTAAAAGACAAAATAATGGTAATATATTGGATATTTAGTTATTCTAAGATATTGAAGCAATTCAGTTCAACTCAAAAAACAATATTGAATTTCTGCTACCAATTATTTGGGGGATTCAAAGAGGAAAGTCCATGAACAGAGCTTACAATATTGGAGAGATCAGGCACAAATAACTATGTTATCACACTATTAACTAAGACAAAATTATTATACACATGAGCGTAAGAATGTGGCTCCAACTGCTGAGTTCCAATAGATAAGACATAAAAGTTGGCCAGGCGTGGCGGCTCATGCCTGTAATCCCAGCACTTCGGGAGGCTGAGATGGCTGGATCACAAGGTCAGGAGATCGAGACCATCCTGGCTAACACAGTGAAACCCCATCTCTATTAAAAATACG